TAATCCCCCAACCCCCCCAACCCTCCTCAGTCCACAACTCAGCTCCCCACCTGCCGCCACTCGCTCCGCCGTGGGAGCTGCGGGTCACTACCCACGGGCGCCCGTTCTACGTCAACCACTTGACGTGCACCACTCAGTGGCATGATCCGCGGCTGGTGGGTGCTCCCTCGCCATCATCGGCAACCTTGCCGCCGTTTCAGGGCGTTTCTGGCCCCGGATCGGTGTATGGCTCGGTGCCGCCGCCGCGGCCGGTCCTACCGGCACCGGGGCTACAGGCCATGAAGTCGCTCTCGCGGGCATCCACCATTGAGCTTCGGGCCACCGAGCCGCTGGTGGTGAGTGCAAATGGTGCGGCGGTTCCATCGGCGGTCCACTATGTGGTGACAGTGTACGTGGGCGGTCTGCCGACCGGCACCGATGCACCGGACGCGCCCGGCTCGATGGAGGCCACGCTCCGCGAGTCGTTCCGAGTCTTCCGCGCCGACGACCTCAGCGAAGGCTTCCGCGTCGTCAAGATCAAAGCTTTTGACGCCGTCATCCTACACGTCGACGATTCGGCGGATGGCTGGGACGAGGCGCTGACCTTTCTTTCCGCGCTACGCGACGGTGAGGGCTTTGTACCATCGCGCGACAAGCCCGATGCATCGCACTTTCCGTCGGCGGTCTTCAAGGGCGAGTACCGCCCGCCGGTTCTGGCCCTGCTTCCGGGCTCGGTCTCTCCGGTGGCCCTGGACCAGCTCTTTGACGCCGGCCTTGACGACTATGTCATGCGGCCGAGCGTGCCGCGGGCTATCCATCGCCGGCTCCGCTCGTTTGCACGAAACATCATCGTGGAAGAAGACACGAGCGAGCCGCTGGCTGCCAGCAAGCGCGGGGCACAGCTTGCGCGGTCGATCATCCAATACTCAAAGGAACACGAGATCGGTGAGACAAGCGTGAGCGACGCGTCACCACACACCAACGTTGCATCGCTCGTTGCTGATGCTGCGCCGGGCAAGCGCCGCCCGTCGATTGTCAAACAGGCAGCCAACGACTCGGCGCTCGACAAGATCCAGCTGCGGTTCAAGCTCGGGCTGATGGAGACGGAGAAGCGCAAGGTTGGCGAGCTCAAAGCCAAGAACCAGGAGCTCGAATCGCAGCTAGAGGACCTCTCGTCCAAGCTCGAGGCGTACGAGTCGCCCATGAAGTCGTTGCTGCGGACGGTGGCCGACATGACGACAGCAGCCGAGGCCGGTGAGGCCCTCGACCCGGCTACCGTCAAGTCGTCGCTGATGCAGGTCATCAAAGACCTGACATCGTCTGACCTCTACGAGCCCATCATCGACGCCGATGACAGCGACGGCACCATCGACTCGTCCAAGGCTTGGGTTCTCGAAGAGTTTTCGTCGGCTCGCGCCGCTGCAGGCCACCACACCAAGTCTTCGCTGTGGAAAAAGCACAATGCCAAGGTCCGCGCCCCATTCGCTTTTCCGAACTACTCCAGCGACTCGCACTCGTCTGTCGCTGCGGACTCGGATGCCGCGGGTCTCGACCTCTCGGCGTCGTCTATAGAGGTGACCAGCGAGGCGCTCAAGTCGCTCGAGCTTCCAATCTTTGACCTTGACGAGATGACGCTTGTCAAGTACATTGTCGTCATGTTTTCGAGTCTTGGCCTTCTCGAGCAGTTCTCCATCGAGACCCAGGTCCTCGCCAACTTTATCCGTGCCGCCGCCAAGTGCTACCGTAGCACGAACCCGTATCACAACTTTGTACACGCCTTTGACGTTTGCCAGACCGTGTTCTGGCTCATTACCCAGACCTCGGTCACCTCGCTCCTCTCCTCGCTCGACGTGCTCTGTCTCATGGTTGCAGCGGTGGCGCACGACCTCAGCCACCCGGGCAAGTCGAACAACTACCTGGTTGCCACCCGCGACCCGCTCGCGCACGTCTACAACGATCGGTCGGTCCTCGAAAACCACCACGCGTCGACGCTCTTCGACATCCTCGCCAACGACGAGTGCAACGTGCTCGCCGGCCTCGGCGCTGACGAGTGGCGCACCGCGCGTGACAACATTATCGACATGATTCTTCACACCGACATGGCCAAGCACTTTGAGATGGTTGGCAAGTTCTCGGTCGCGGCCTCGTCGCGGACCTTTAACCGCGAGTCTGACGCCGACCGCCGCATCGTCTGCGCCGTCCTCCTCCACGCCGCCGACATCTCCAACCCGGCCAAGCCGCTCGCTACCTTTAAGCTCTGGGTCGACCGCGTCTCTTCTGAGTTTTTCCAGCAGGGCGACGCCGAGCGGGCCCGCGACCTGCCCATCTCGCCTATGATGGATCGCACCAAAGCCGACATCCCGTCCATGGAGGTCAACTTTATCAACTTTGTCGTCCGCCCGCTTTACGCCGCTCTCGCCTCGGTCGTCCCGAAGTCCAGGTCCTTGTCGACAACATGGATGTCAACAAGGCGTATTACGAGACAATGCGTGACAAGGAGCAGGCCGCCGCAGATGCTGCCGCCGCGGCTGGCGATGACTCGACTGGTAGCTCCAGCAATTGAACGAGTCAGCGCGCCGGCGAGTCATCCGAGAGAGACCGTCTGCGCTAGAACGCGCCCTGCAGCATGCTGCAAACTTCGTCGAGCTCGGGCGAGAGAGAAGTCCGCTCAGCAGGCTCGCTCTTCTCGGTCGGGGTGGGGAGCGCGGGTGTGGACGACTTGCGCGACCGCGGCCGGCGGATCTTGGCTCGTGTCCGCTCCGGGAGCTGGGTGATGGCGATCTTGCGGACGTAGGCCATGCCGAGGCGAGTGAGCCGGTAGCGTGAGCGAGTGCGGAGGACAAAGCCGCGCGAATGCGCAGACCGCGCCGCAGCTCGCATGACTTGCAGCAACTCGGCCTCGGCCAGCCGCCGAAGTGGCGACCAGACCTCGCTCGGCATGTCGGGCCCATTGGCCGCCAGCCACACAACCATGTCGGCGAGGAACGAGCCCTTGCGCTCACCGAGCGCCGCAATGGCGGTGCAGAGCACATCCAGCGCTGCACTGCGTGCCGATCCGCGCGAGACCCGCTTCGGCGTCCGCACCTCGCGGGAGGCGAGCGAGAACATGTCCACTCTTGTCTTGCTCGCGGCATGATGGGCCAACCGCTCCGAGTCGAGCGAGTATCGGCCGTGCGTCCCGCCGCCGCCGCCTCCTCCTCTCCTTTCAGCTGCTATTGTCTGGACCTCCATTTCGCTGCAGTCTTCGTTATCGTTGCAACCTCCCAGCTGACCAGCCGTTGCGGGACCGGTCCCGTTCGGCCTGCTGCAGCCGCGACGGAGCTGAGCCGGCGGCAGCCACAACGGACTCAACGAGCGAGGACGGGTGCTCGGAGCATCAGAGCTCGAGAACATAGCTATTGCCCGTGCGTACGTCGAGTGCGGCTCACGAGCAAGTGGGGATGCGGCTTGTCTCGTGAGAGGGAGTCGGCTGTTGTGCGCTTGCATCCCGGGCTTGCCGTGGAAGACGCTCGCCAGCTCGTTGGCCATTTCTTGATGCGGTGCCTTCCGCAAAGATTCAGCGCTGGAACCGCCGCAAGTGGGGCGGAAGGGGGGGGGGGGGGGGGGGGTGCTATGGAAAAATTTGCGGTGTGCGGGTGTTTCGGTGAAGAACAACAGAAAATTGACCGGCTCTTTGCGGTGGGCGGGAGCTCGCTCACACGTGTGTCTCGTGCTCACCCTTGCACGCAGGCGCCTGGCCCTTTGTGCTTGTGATCGAGTTGATTCTCCGGTGTCGCGGCTTGCTATCACGGATAGAGACAATGTCAGAGCGCGGTGCGAGAAGGAATGAGATGCGCTGGTCGATCGCTTGCTGAGTGCGGTGTTCTCTCGAGAGTTCTCCCGCTCCTGACGTGTGGGCGCGCAAATCTACCCGCCCGCACCCGCCCGCACCCGCTCGCCCGCACCCCCGCCCGCACGCCATGGCACGACACGGTACCGATCGCCGCACACTCCACGCCATCGGCAAGTGTACACACATGGTTTAAAGGTCGTCCATGTTGGCAAGGTCGACGTCGTCGTGCTCGGAGGGAGGCGAGTCTGGGGCCGCTGCGCCGCCGCCGCTGCCGGGCGTGCTGGGCGGTGGCTTGGACTGCAGGGCGCGGATGTCCGAGGCGAGCTGGTTGACGAGGCCGGCAAACGACTCGGGGAGGCCGGCCTGGAGGAGAAAGGTGACGCCGACGTCGGCAGTCGGCGGCGGGGCAAGTGCCGACGCCGCAGCGCCAGGTGGCGGCGACGACGGCGACTGGACAATGATCTTGAACTTGAGGATGACGCCGCCGTAGTTGCACTTGGCCTTGAACGTCGTGAACGAGTTGCGGCGGAACTTGCACCGAGCACCGTGGAGCGCGAGCGCCACCTTCGTCCCGAGCGCCTTGGGCGTGGTGTCGTGGAAGACGACCTCGAGCTGCGAGACGATGGCTGACCGCGAGGATGGGTTGGCCGCGGGCGCCTGTGCCACATTGGCGCTTTGCGGCAGCTGCGTCACTACCGAAGCAGCGTCGGCGGTGGGCGCGGCGCCGGCCATCGGCAGAACGCCCGAGCGTTGGCCTCCCTGGCTTCCGCCGAACAGGTTGGAGAACCACGAGACGTGCGGCGACGAGGAGACCGGCGGCGAGGCCGCAACAGCGGCGGCCGCGGCGCCGGCGTGCCGGTGGAAACGCGGCGTGCCCGAGACACCGCCGGCACCCGCCGCCGCCGCCGCCGTCGACCCGTCCCACCCGGCCGGCGGGTGGACAGGGACCGGCACGCCGTATGATGAAGCAAGCGCAAAGGCATTCGAGGTTGGGACCGACTGCGAGAGCGGCGTCGCCGTCGCCATCGGCCGCCGTGGGACCCGGACTCCAGTCGCTGCGCTCGGCTCAACATCCATGTCGGCCAGCGCGTCGGGCGAGGCCTGCTGCAGGCTTGTCGGCGTCGCGTCAAGCGGGGAGACCATCGGCTCCGGGCCCGAGCCCGGGTAGCCGCCAAACATGGCAGCAGCGGTCGACGACGGAATGTACGATGCCGCCACTGGACCGCCGGCTCCTCCGCCGGCCTCGGGAAAGTACTGAGCGCCATGGGGTGAGGTCGGCGAGACAAAGCCGACGCGGCCGCGGCTGCCAGCAGCGATGCGCACTGCGCCAGATTCGCGCTCGTGTGCCTCGTCCATCGGCGCCGCCGCCGCCGCCCCGCTCCCGCGGCCACTGCCGATCGACTGGTGGAAGGTGGCTTCGATCTCGGCCTTGCGCTGCGCAAGTAGATGGTAGAAGACCTTGGCGACAGACTTTTCGTCCGACGCCAGCGACCGGCGCAACTCGCTGGCGCCACCCCATCCGAGCGAGACGAGCGAGGCAACGACGTCGTCGTCGGGAACCGCAATGGGCAGCGCCGAGGTGATGGCCTCAGAAATCGGCCGGACCGGCGGTGTGTCCATCGGAAGCGAGTTGAACCACGGATGTGCCTTGATCTCGTCGACAGTTATTCTCGCCGTCGGATCCACGGTCAGCATCCGCGAAATGAGGTCATTGATGTCCGGCGAGACCCACCGCGGGATAAAGAACCGCCCGGCCTTGACCTTCTTCAGCAGCCTTCGGATGTTTTCGTCGTCAAACGGGAGCCGCCCGGTGAGAAGCGCATACAGAATGACGCCCATCGACCACACGTCGGCGGCCTCGCCCGAGTACGGCTGGCCCATCACCACCTCGGGACACGCGTAGTGCGGCGAACCGCACGACGTCTCCAGCAGCGAGTCCTGCTTCATCACAGACGCCATCCCAAAATCCGCAAGCTTCACGTTGTTGTTCTCGTCCAGCAGCAAGTTCTCCGGCTTGAGATCCCGATGGCACACCATGTGTTTGTGGCAGTAGTCCACCCCGAGCACAATCTGCTGGAAAAACCGCAGCGCCTCATTGGGCAGCAGCCGGCCCTTGCGCACCAGATAATCAAACAGCTCGCCACCCTCCACATACTCGAGAATCAAGAACCTACACACCAGCCCGCGCAGCACACCCACAAAACCCCGCATTACAACAACCAAATGAGTCCCCCTCCCCCCTCCCTCCTCCAACCTCCGCTTCGCCGCCCTCGGGCATGCAGCAGTTCGCCCGACAGCGCGACATGACTTTGCCACCACCGCCTCGCACCCTCTTGCAATACAGCAGCCAGACTCGGCATATCTTGGCCATGGCCATGACCCATGACATGCACCACGCACGCAACAAAAAGGAACCCAAGGACGCGACATGTCCAGGCATGCCGCATTTGGCGCGACATGGACGTAGCAGGTCGCTTCCTGCCGCGTGCACCCCCCCTTGCCCCAACACACACACACACACACACATATATATATATGTCCCATCTTCCACATAGCACAACCAGTGTGGGCCCAGGAATACGTACAGGTAGCGGGAAGTCTCGTAGACGTCAAAGAGCTTCATGACGTTGGGGTGGTTGACGAGGCGGAGGACGGCGATCTCGCGCTCCATCTTGCGGCGCATGTTGGGCTTTGAATTGAGCGAGTCCTTGGAGATGATCTTGATGGCAACCTTAAGCCCAGTAACTCTATGTGTACCAAGCTTGACCTTGCCCGTCGCGCCAACTCCAAGCGTTCTTCCCAATTCAAACTCTCCCACACATTGGCTTGACCCGCTCGTCGCCGTACTCCCTTCCGTCGCCTCTTCCACACTCATACCCATACTCGCAGCCGTAGTCGTCTCCATCTCTTCCTCCATACTCAACGGGTCCATCTCCACCCTCTTTCGACCTCTAACCACTTGCTGGAGTCGAGAGTGTCGGTGTCAAAGACAAGTATGTGACCCCACACACCTTCTCCTCCACGCCATCTCCCTACGCGCCACGCAACACCACGCCACACCAGCCTCCTCTCCACCACCCGCTCCATGGCTCCGCTCTTGTGCCATCGACCATATATGCCTCGCCAACAACCACATTTTTTGTCGAACGTTCGAATCGTGCGCCAAGACTTGGCTTGGGCTGAGTGACCCGGTGGATGTCGGTGGGTCGATATGATGGGCATCTGCTGATCAAACTCGACGTTCTCATCATTCTTGACTCGCATGAACCTTGGCAGAATTTCCTGCACCATCGATACACCTGTTCAGGTTTTTGCTGGCCTTGGAAATGCGGATTACGATTTTTCTCCCTCTCTCTGCCCGCGCACATCTGCAGCATCAGCACCTGTCACCCTTCCATACCACCTTTGATTGCCGTCAACGCCGCTGCACTTTGAAGTCCCTCTTCTACCCCAAAAATCACGCCCCACGGCGCATGCCGGGATGAGTGACCGTTTGCCGACCTCCACCACCGCAACAACCCGCAAGCTCGCAACAAGCTCGCGGCAAGCAACCGGTCCACGCCACAGCCACCGACCACCCACACACACACCCAACGCTAGCACCCCACCTCTCTCCACACACATACACACACACATATATATATATATATACACATACACACACACCAGGTAGGTGTCTGTCTGTGCCCCCCCTCCCTCCCCCCCCCCTCCCCCCTGCCCCTCCGTCTTCACTTACCCACTCTGGCATACAGCAAAGGGTATGTCGTCGTATCCGGACCGGCTGACCCTCCCTCTCGGGACGGGGTCAGGGTCTGTTGGTGGTGGGAGCAGCAGCATCGGGACAGGAGGATGTACCTCTGCTCCAAGCAGTCCTACCTCGCCGTGCCAGCCTCGGAGAAGGGCTGGCTCGTCGAGCGTGGTCGAGCTGACAACGGCATCGGGCGAGACGTTGGAGCAGGTGCGGACAAGGCTCAAGCGGTCGCACTCGCATCAGGGCAGCATCCAGACGTGGTCGACACGCTCGTTCTGGGGACAGGCGCCGCGGTATGCGACCTTGCTGCAGGAGCTTTTTGACACTCGGGCCGAGCGGACGCTGGCAGCGCTCGGCGACGCAGTGGACCCGTCCGACGCCGACGCGCTCGCCTCGGCACTGGTCAGCGTCGCGTCACACGCAGGACTCACGCTCTCGGTCATCCAGACGATGATCGAGTCCGAGTTTGCGTCGCACGCTGAGTTTCCGTCGACCATTCTCCGCGGCAACTCGCTGGCGTCCAAGATGGCGACCATCTACTGCAAGTCTGCGGGCAAGAGCTATCTGCAAGCCATCCTAGCGAGCACGGTTGAGGCTGTCATCGATGACAAGGAGCTTTTCCTGGAGATTGACCCAAACAAGCTGCGCCGGGTGCATGGTGGTGCGTCAGACGAGGAGCTCGCCGCGCTGCAGGCTGCGAACCAGGAGAAGCTGCTCGCGCTCTCGACCTCGGTCTTCAATCGCATTGTGGCGGCCGAGGCCGTGGATGCCATGCCTGCGCCGATTCGCGCCATTGCCAAGCACATTGCCGACATGGCCGACGCGTACCTGCCGGCCGATGTGGCCGAGGGCGGCGTGAAGACCAGGCTCATCGGCGGCTTCATCATGCTGCGATTCTTCAACCCGGCGCTGGTCACGCCTGAATCCTTTGATGTGGTGTCTGAGGATCGAGTGCCGGACCCGCGGGCGCGACGAAACCTTGTGCTTCTCACCAAAATCCTGCAGAACGTGTCCAACCAGGTCTTGTTTGGCTCCAAAGAGCAGCACATGGCCATTCTCAACTCGTTCATTGATGACAACATGGCGACCATGGCTGCATATCTCAACAACGTCGTTGCGCTCGACGATGCTGACGTGGCCCAGTGCTCGGCATCGACGACACCGCGGTCGTGGGACGTGCACGTACTCGACTGCAACGATTTGTTCACCCTCCACTACGTGCTGCTCAACATGCTGCCCAACCTCACGTTTGGCTTTGAGTCCCAACCGCTTCTCGACGGCCCGCGGGACGACGTCATGAACAGCGACGCCGTCGACGATCCTTCTGCCGCTTGCGTGCCACAAGGCGTGGCATCCAACAGGGTCGTCGCCGCCCTCGCCGCCGCCGATGCCAAGCCTCGCCCGGTCAGCCTCGACCCTGAAGTGGCGTCCGAGTTTGATTCGCTCCTGGAGCAAATGGCAAGTATTGGTGACTCGCTCGGCGACGTGAGCGCACTACCGTCGGGCACCGAGACTGCCGATGCTTCCGCCGCCAACGCTGTCAACAACGACGACGATGATGCATTGTCGCCGTCCGCGCCCGACGCCTCTGAGGCCGTGCGCGGGGCTACCGCAGGCCTGTCGGCACCGGCACCGGCGACGGCGCGTCGCACAAAACGGCGCGGACGGACGCGATCCGAGGCAGCCGGTGACTCGCGGTTCCTCTCGGCAATTATGGACCTCGGCCCGCCACCAATGGTGCGGCGTGCGTCGAAGCGGCACCGTGGGATGTCTGCGTCGAGCTCGACATCGTCGCTGGCGAGCGTAGGCTCGTCGACGCCTACGCTGGCGACGCCCGGGCGAAGCGCGGTGGAGGCGTCGACCGACATGGCGGCGGCACGGTTTTTCTACAAGGGCCTTCCCAACAAGGATGGCATTCCGACGTACTATCTCATCATGTGCCAGCTGAAGACGATGTTCATGGCGGACGCTGAGGCGCTCGCGCAGTTTGTGCGCGAGACGATGGGAGCCGACATCGACGCGCCATACGCGCTAGTCATCGACATGTCGTGGGTCAAGGTCACGTTTGAGATGAAGCGGCTGATGTACAAGCAGCTCTCGACGTTTGCTGGCATCTTTAACCGGCAGCAGAAAAAGAACTCGCGGGCGATCTACCTCATCCACCCGTCGTCGTTCACCTCGACCGTCCTCTACTTTGCGTCGCGGTTCACCTCGGCCAAGCTCCGCAAGAAGATCCACGAGATCTATGAATGGGAGGCGCTGCATGAGTTCATTGCACCGTCGGCTGTGGCGCTTCCGGAGAGCTCCAAGGCGTACCTGACCAAGGCGTATGACGTGGTCAAGATCAACGCCAAGGGTAAGGAGCAGAGTCGGCTCATCAAATTTACGCACAACTCGATTCTCAACATCGACCCCAAGACGCAGCGTATCCGCAACGAGCGCAAGCTGGTGGAGATGCTCGACGTTGTCGCGCCGCGTACCGAGCCCACTATTGTGCTCCGGTTTGACACCGAGAGCCAGGACGAGTCGTCGTCGTCGGGCCTCGCCTCGACATCGTTCCTCAACAAGTTCCGCCGCAACGAGGCCGACGCCGAGTTCCGCACCTACCGCTGCGCCTCGATCGAGGAGCGCAACGAGGTTATCTACGAGATCTTTGAGCGCGGCTTCACCGCGCCGGCCTTTCCGCACGCCAACGAGTACGAGGTCCTCGAGCAAAAGGGCAGCTCCAAGCGCAACGCCCGAACGCTCAAGCTCACCATCGACTCGATCCTTACCATTGCCAAGGGCCGCATCAAGAAGGAGGTCTCGTTTGCCGGCATCGAAGAAGTGTTTGTCGATCCCAAGAACTGTACCCTCGTCTGGTTCAAGTGCAAGGGCGACAAGGTGCCGACCAAGCTGTACACCAACGACGCCGCCGCCTTTGTCGCTGCCGTCGAACATTGCATCCGCAAGAACCTCGCAGACGACTCCAAGCTGGCCCAGAACGAGAAGGATGAGCTCAACGCGTACATGGACGACGAATGAGTGGAGATGTAAAACGCACATTGCCAGAGGCCGAGCGCGCGCCAACGGTCACCAACCTCGCACACGCTTGCGGCAGAGGCGGGCCGCGAGCACTTGTCGCACCACAGGCATAACCATACGCCTGGCTGCATACACTGTCTAACATGTCTGAGCATAGCTGGACGGTGGCCAAGTTTCCGTTCTCAGCCACCGACGAGCGCCAGCTGGGGGTGGCCAAGGGTGAGGCCGTCCTTGTCGTCCGTCCGTCGGGCAACTGGTGGTATGCCCGATCAGCCACCGGTGCCGAGGGGCTCATCCCCTCCAACTACATGAGCGGACTGATGACTGCTGAGGAAGCTGGTCTTGATCCTGGTTCTGTGCGCGCCTTTCTCGCCTTTGATGACCTTGATGCCGAAGGTGAGGCCGAGGCCGAGGGCGAGGCCGAGTACGTGGAGATCCTGGTCGAGATCGATGCCGATGGCGTTGAGCAAGTAGTTGCCGATGTCGAGAGTAAGGATGATGTGGCTGCTTTGCTTGCAGAAGCACAGCGTGAGGACTCGATGGTGTTGGAGGCCGCGACTGCTGTAGTGGCGGTTGAAGGGGCTGGCGCTGATGATGTTGCTGCGCTGCTGGGTGAGGGCACGAACCCTGATGGAACGGATGCGGATGATGTTGCTGCGCTGCTGGGTGAGGGCACGAATCCTGATGGAACGGATGCGGATGATGTTGCTGCGTTGCTGGGTGAGGGCACGAATCCTGATGGAACGGATGCGGATGATGTTGCTGCGTTGCTGGGTGAGGGCACGAACCCTGATGGAACGGATGCGGATGATGTTGCTGCGTTGCTGGGTGAGGGCACGAACCCTGATGGAACGGATGCGGATGATGTTGCTGCGTTGCTGGGTGACGGCACGAATCCTGATGGGACGGATGCGGATGATGTTGCTGCGCTGCTGGGTGAGGGCACGAACCCAGACGCCACAGACGCCGACGACGTTGCTGCCCTCCTCGCCAACGACACACACCCGGACGCCACAGACGCCGACGACGTTGCTGCCCTCCTCGCCAACGACACACAACCGGACGCCACAGACGCCGACCCGCCCAACGACTCCGCAGCTGATGCCGCTCCACTCGAGGCCGACCAGATACGGTGGGAGCAAGACGACGACGTCATCTCGAGTGTGGGCACGACCGAGGCGGCGGCAGAGCTTGTGGACACCATGGGCGTCGACACCATTGTGCGCCTGGTAGTCGAGCAGGACGATGTCATGGGTCTGTCCGATCCGTGCCTCTCGTCGGTCGACCTCGGCTACGACGCATCCGATGACGCTCGCGCCATCCTGGAGGACATCACACTCGAGCCTCAATATGTGGAGCCCAAGCCGTCCCGCCGCCGCCGCCGACGGACCCGCGAGCAGGCCAAGGCTCACGCCCGTGCCCGCCGCGCCCACGCCAGGGCCCAGCAGGCAGCTGCCGCCAGCGCCCCCGCGCCCCCAAAGCCCAAGACGCTCGCCGAGCTCATGGCCGACGCCGAACGGGTCGAACGCATCCAGCAGGCGAGCACAAGGTTGCAATACAAGGAGGAGGCCATGGCGCCGCCCACTGAGACCCTCCTCGAACGCAAGGACACGCCGTGGCGCAAGCGCACTGAGCCGCTGCGCCCACGCCGTACCCGTGCTCAGCCGCACTCGTCGCTCTTCCCGCCCCGCACTTCGATATTCGACGACCCACTCCCGCACCCCCCGAATCCCCGGCCGGCCTCGCCGCTCCGGATTGGCCTCTCCTACATCGGCCGATCGTCGCCGGTATCCCCATCGCACTCATCAGCGTGGACCCGCGAGCCATCGCACTACGCCTCGCCCACTCTCGGTATCTTTCCTTCCCCCTCCTTGCCGCACGCTCCGCCGCAACGTGCCGAGCCGTCCCGTGCCTCGCCCGCCTCCCTCGTCGCCGCCATCGAGCACTCGGCCGTCCGCCTCCCACCTGTCGAGCTGCCACTCGCCGGCGCCCCGTCCCGCCCGCTCCTTGTCCCTGACACCCGCGATCCCATCCGCGAGCAAGCCATCCAGGCCATCCTCCGCACCGTCCTCACCACCGCCAACTCGGCCATGGTGCCGTAATACACACGCTATCCCACCCCCTGCCGCCGGTCCGGCTCACGCCCACAACGACACACTCGACTCAACTCCCCGTCTGTCTCCATCATGTCTCGCCGCCCCCGAAGAGGCCGTGTCAAGGTCCCCAGATTCCGCGTCGACCTCGACGATGCTCCCACCGACAGATGGACCCACATTGTGCGAGAGTGTACGTGCCCCAGTACACAGGGTCTTCCCCTTCCCCCCCTCCCCCCGCACCCTTCCTCCCCCCCTCTCCAACTCACAACAGAATGAATGCATTCCTTCTTAACTTTCCTTCTCACCCTTCCCCCCCCCCCACACACACACAGATAAGGAGGACTTTGTGGCCATCCGCGCACAGCTGCAGGAAACAATCCGCGAGGAGGCTGGACCACGGCTGGGTGCGTTCATCGAGTCGGTGCTCTCGACTTTGATGTCGACAGTGACCAAGATGGGTGCTGTCTACTACGGTGCAGAGCTCAAGGGCATCGCTCGGGAGACTGGCATGCCGCTCGGCATGCTCGCCGTCCTCCAGCTGGTATACGAGGCATCAGCCGCGTGCACAAGCATTGTCGTTCCGTGCGGTGAGGGCCCGCCGGTCCACATCCGTACCATGGACTGGGAGATGGACTTTCTTCGCCCGCTCACCATCGAGGTCGAGTTCTGGCGCGATGGTGTGCCACTGTATGTCGCGCCGACCTGGGCCGGGGCTGTCGGCGTCCTCACCGCCTGCAAGACCGGTGCGTTTTCGGCCTCGGTCAACTTTCGCCTCACCGAAGACGGCTCGTACTGGGGCAATGTCAAGCGCCTGCTGGCCCGCTCATGGCCGATCGGCTTCCTCCTCCGCGAGGTCTGTGAGTCTACGCAAGCCTACGCCGACGCCGCCGACATCCTTGCCACTGCTTCGCTCGTCGCCCCGGTCTACTTTACGCTCTGTGGCATCGCTCCGGGCGAGGGGTGCATCATCACACGCGGGCCATCCGTCGAGGAGCGCCGATGGGAGCTTGCCGCCGACGGACCGTGTGTCCAGACCAACGTCGATTACTTTGACGTCGACGGCGAGTCGGACATCATGTGGTCGCGCGAGCGCCTTGCTCTCGGCCGCTCGCTGGTAGACTCGCTCTCGACCAGCCCCGATCGCGAGGCCCTGTTTGGTCTTGTCTCGACGTGGCCCATCTGCAACGAGCTCACCGTCTACGCCTCGTACTTGGAGCCGATCACCGGCGTCGTCAAGACCTACCTCCCGAACACCCGCTCTGGCTTCCGCCACCGCTCCACCGCCGTCGCTGGGCCCGATGCTCGCGTCCGCTGCCGTAATTGCCGCACTCGCTTCACTGAGAGCCTCAACGCTTCTGGCCGCTGCGCCCACGTAGGTGACTGGCACGCCGCCTACAACGACTGCTCCAAGATCAAGTGCGCCTGGGGCCTCAAGTCGTCCATCGGCAAGCAGCATTGGTCCTGCTGCTTCTCTACCTCGCGCCGCTCCCGCGGCTGTCCGCGCTCTGGCGCACACGTTCCCGGCTCTGACAGCGATAGCGAGAGCGATAGCGATGACTCATCACACTCACCTGCCTCATCATCGTCGAGCTCATCATCCGTCTCCGCTGTGTCGTCGGCGTCCTGATTGAACGCCCCTTGCTCGGTCACACCTCTCTCCACCAGCCATGGACTCCTCGCCACCGATCACTATTCCCATCACCACAGCCCCCGACATCGTCATTGCTCTCGCCCACCGCTGGCTCCCGTCAGACCTCGTCCCGCAAAAGTCATCCGATGTCGAGCTCGACGTCGCTCGGCCCGACGGCTCAGGCGTCGCCCATATCGCAATCTCGCCACCGACATTGACCTCCAGCCAGCCAGCCCTCTCAGCCAAGGCGCATAGTCTGCTCCGTCGCACCCATCGGGCGCCAGTCCCGTCGCCGCGCGGCTCGGTGGTCATCACCGCGCCCGATCCGCTCACGGGGAGACGCCTCGCCCGCGCGCTCCGGGCCTGGGACTCGGCCGGGTGGGCGCGATGGCGCGGGCCACTGGCATGCGCCCTCGCCTTTGACCGCATCACTGCTGCTCTACAGACAAACGTTTCTGCGGCAGGCTGGGAGTTGGACCGCAGCGATGCGCCTGCACTGGCCACCGCCGCTCTGGCGGTGAGCCTCTGGGCCGACGCCGGGCCAGTCGCCTTTGTCGAGCTCGGCCCCGGCTCGGGCCTCCTCAGCCTCGCCCTCGTTTCTGCCGGCCACCTCTGCCTCGGCAGCTATGACGTTGTTGCCCGTGGCGAGTGGGCCTCGCTCCCGCCGCTCGTTGCTGCCCGCATGGCCTGCGTCCCGGCCCTCGCCGACCTACCCGCTCAGAGCGCTCCCGCCGTCGCCAAACTTAACGCCCTCACCCACGACGCCGACTGGATCGTTGGCGTCCACTGCGATGCTGCCACGCCGTGGGTCGTCGCTGCCGCCGCCGCCGCCAACGCCCGCTACCTTGTCGTTCCCTGCTGCCCGCACACCCTTGACGGCTCGCTTCTCGTGGACTCGGTCCTCGACGCCGATCCCACCGTCCACCAGCGCTACCGTGCCTACCTCGCTGCCATCGCGGCTCCTCCTTCGACGCTAGACGCTGGGTCCAGCCTCCCACCACAGCCCACGCCGCACCCCCTCCCCATCTCGTCGCCCGGCTACATCGCTCTCGTCTCGCCCGCTCCATCGCCGGAGGCCGCGTCATCAACTGCCAACTGCTGACGCTCCCTCCCCCCCTCGACCTGCAAGCCACGCCATGCCACCTTTCGGCGAACACACATTCCACTGCCACAACCGCCACGTCCCCACACTCAATCACTCTCCCGATAATCGGCGAAACCGGAGCGACGCGGCGCGACGCGGTGCTATTTTTGCCCACCACCCTGCTCCACCCAAGCACGCCACACGCACCCCACAGCTGCATGTCTCCGCCCAAACACCGACGCAATACTCAAGCAATGTGTCTACCGCCGGTCGTCCAAGATCTCGCCCTCTGGCATGCTCTTTATCGTCAGTACTCGCCATAGAGGGCCCGCAATGATCGGAAATGAAAGCAGCTGCGGAGGAAAAACGACGCACGTGTCGTCATTCCCAACAAGAATCAATGGGATGGAACAAATAGTCTGTGGGTGGCTCTCCTGCATAACCCGGCACCCCCTCTCTCCGCACCTCCCATTTTGAACAATGGCTGCTTCCAACACCAATGAGACCTTTGTGGTCGACTCCGAGTCTGTCTCCTACACGGATGACGCCATTCTCGCCTCCTACGACTACTCGGTCACCCGCGTGACCAAGAACGAGGCCGGCAAGACTGTTGTCAAGCCCACCACCCGGACCTACGAGTTCAAGACCGAGCGTGTGGTGCCCAAGGTCGGCATGATGATTGTCGGCCTCGGCGGCAACAACGGGACCACCGTCACCGCCGGCATCCTTGCCAACCGCGAGTACGCCACACTGCGCATGCCCCCTCCCTCCCCTTCCCCTTCCCCGTACCAGTCCTTCCACTCTTGCCCCCCCTCTCCCCCGTCATGCTCGCCTATTCCCCCCCGTCATGCTCCCGCGCCATACGCGGGAGGTGCGAAGCCGTCACGTCGGTTGGATTTTGCCACGTCGACGCGCCGTCAAGTTCCCCGTCTGCAACGAGCCTACCGCGCCGCCAGCGCATGCCACTCGCACGCACAATACCCATAGGGCTTGCGTGTCTACTCGGTGCTCTCCACGGCTTGTTCTTCCTCTGCGGCCCCGTCCTGGCGAGCTACACGCGCCTTGGCAAGCCATTTGTGCACGGCTGACGGAACGCTGGAACGCGACGTTGGCCCGGCGGCGGCCTTTTGGGTCGATCAATTTTTTGCCAGAGCACCCCCCACCCACCACCCACCACTTACCGCCGAAAATCTTGCAGGGGCATCTCGTGGCGCACCAAGCGCGGCATCCAGGAGCCGAACTACTACGGTTCGGTCACCCAGGCTTCGACGCTCAAGCTTGGTGTCGATGCCAACGGCGACGACGTGTACGTGCCGTTTGCCGAGGTCCTCCCGATGGTCAACCCGAACGACCTCGCCATCGGCGGCTGGGACATCAACAACATGAACCTCGCCGACGCCATGGACCGTGCGCAGGTGCTCGAGTACGACCTCCAGCGCCAGCTGTACCCGCTCATGAAGGAGATGGTCCCGCTTCCGTCGATCTACTTCCCCGACTTTATCGCCGCCAACCAGTCGGACCGCGCCAACAACGTGCTCGAGGGCACCCACGAGGAGCTCGTCGAGAAGATCCGCGCTGACATCCGCGAGTTCAAGGCCGCCAACAACCTCGACTCGGTCATCGTCCTCTGGTCCGCCAACACCGAGCGCTTTGCCGAGATCCGCGAGGGCCTCAACGACACCAAGGACAACCTCATGGCCGCCATCGCCCGCTCCGACGCCGAGGTCTCGCCGTCCACCCTCTTTGCTGTTGCCTCGATCCTCGAGGGCTCGCCGTACATCAACGGCTCGCCGCAGAACACCTTTGTGCCCGGCGTCTTTGAGCTCGCCGAGGAGCACGGCGTCCACATCGGTGGTGACGACTTCAAGTCGGGCCAGACCAAGATGAAGTCGGTCCTCGTCGACTTCCTCGTCTCGGCCGGTATCAAGCCGACCTCCATCGTCTCGTACAACCACCTCGGCAACAACGACGGCAAGAACCTCTCCGCCCCCAAGCAGTTCCGCTCCAAGGAGATCTCCAAGTCCAATGTCGTCGACGACATGGTCGCCTCTAACCCCATCCTCTACAAGGAGGGCGAGCACCCCGACCACACCGTCGTCATCAAGTACGTGCCGTTCGTCGGCGACTCGAAGCGTGCCATGGACGAGTACACCTCGGAGATCTTCCTCGGTGGCCACAACACCATCGCCCTGCACAACACCTGTGAGGACTCGCTCCTCGCCGCCCCGCTCATCATCGACCTCGTCATCCTTGCCGAGCTCCTCTCGCGCATGCAGTGGCGCATCAAGGGCGAGGAGGAGTACAAGCCGTTCCACCCGGTCGCCTCGGTCCTCTCCTACCTGCTTAAGGCCCCGGTCGTCCCGCAGAACACCCCGGTCGTCAACGCCCTCTTCAAGCAGCGCATGATGATGGAGAACCTCTTCCGTGCCTGCGTCGGCCTCCCCTCGGACAACTTTATCCACCTCGAGCAGAAGACCAACCCGGCCGACCTCCTCTGATGGACGATCCGCCTGTGTGTTGCCTCTCATTCATTGATCACTCTCACTAAACGCGTTGGAAGCGCCCGCCGTCCTCCTGCCAACCGCAGCCAACAGCTTCTCAGAGTACGTGGCGAGCAGCGCTGTCATCGCCGCCTCGGGCACCAGTCCGCCGCCGAGCGACTGCGACGCCCGAACCACGCTCGCATCCAGCTCGCTGCTCGCCTGCCCGGCCGCCGCCAGCTCGGCCTGCACCGCAAGTGCTGCTGCCACTGCCTCGCTGAGCGCTGCTGCCGCCTGGCTCGCCCGCACCTCGAGTCGACTTGCCCCGCCTCGCGTCGGTGGCGGAGACGGCGGCGGCGTCGTCAACTCGGCCGCAGCCGCGTGCAACGGCGGTGGCGACGGCGACGGCGACGAATTCACCGCTTGCAACGGGGTCGGCGAGCTCGGCGGGCCAGTCGTGAGCACGCTCAGTGGTGCCAGTTCCAGCTCGGCCCGCTTGCCGGCCGCGGCGACCTCGCCCATGGCCACCCCGGAGCCATCCGCTGGAACCACCGGCGAGACGCACGAGATCGGCGGCGCAACCGCCACAGGCACATGGAGCGCCTCCACAGAGACATGTTTGCCGCTGCCCTGCTTGGGCGTGCCCTCCAGCGGGGAATCGCGCTCCAAATCGCCCTTGGGAGAGAAAAACGCCGACGAGCCGTCCGACTCGTCCGCCGCCTCCTCGTCCACCTCGACTTCCTTGGCAACGTCCGCCTCGTCATCGGTCGCCACCTCGGTCGCCACTTCAGACGCAGGCGACGAAGCCGCCGAGCCTTCTGACACCACAACTGAGTCCAGACCGTCGTCGGTCGCTACTTCGGACGCCGGGGTCGAGCTCGCAGATGCCGTCGACGCTGCAGACTTGGAAATGAGCATCCCGAGCTCCGCCAGCCGAGCCCGCATCTTCTCCACTTCAGCCAGGTGCTGCTGCCGCTTCTGCGACTTGAGCTTCTCGCGCTCGCGGATGAGCGAGACGTCAGCGGCAGGCTTGGGCGGCAGCTGAGCCGCCATCGCTGCCGCGCTCACCAGCCCGGAGGCTGCGCTGGTGCCCTTGCCCGCCACATGTCGCGTCGACAGCGACAACCGTGCAGGGTTGACCGCCGGCATGCCCGGCCCGCTCGAGCCCGATAGGAACGCCGCAAACTGCGCACCCGATGTAAACTCCTCCGAGCCGCCATCGTCGCTCGCCGACTCGACTTCCTCGGCCCCAGCGGCAGAGTCGGACGAGATCGAGCCCATCAACACCTCGACGTCTTCGAGCTGGGCAACCTCCTGGGGCTGCACTGCCACCACGTCGAGCTTGGTAGGCGTAAAACTCGGTGGCCCGTCGAGCACAAGCCCAGACTTACGGAGCACGCCCGGCAGCGGCTCGTCGTCGGTGTGCAGCCGGCGGATGCCAAACGGCGAGTCGCCCACCAACTTTGGCGGCGGGACCGCGCCCACGGGTCGACTTGGCGTCGCAGGCTCGGCCACAAGCGCTGGCGGAGACAGCCCCGATGCTGGTTCAGTCGGCGGTGACGCCGACGGGTTTCGCGCGTTCAGCTCCCGGAGCGTCGACTTGCGCAGCGACTCGCGCTTCTCCAGCGAGTCGATGACCGGGTGCGGGTGGATGGCAGGCTCCGCAGGCGCCGGTGACGGCGTCGCCGGAACGTTGTCGTCGGGACTCGCGGGCACGGGTCGGGTCGGCGTGCGTGGCTTGGCCGGCGTCGTAGGCGCACTCGAGCCCGGTGACGTCGTAAGGTTCTCCAGCTCGGCCTCTCGCTCCGCCATCGCCTCCGTGAGCGCCGGCGGGAGGTGCCAGACAAAGACCGTGCCGTCGGCACCGGTTGAGACCAGCCGCTCGCGATCAGGGAGAAAGGCCGCAGAGGTGATGAGGTCGGCGTGACCCCATGCTTCAGCAACAACGTCGCCAGAGAAAAAGTCCACGATCCGCAGGCACCGCGAGAGCTCGCAGGTGGCGGTAAAGAGGCCCGACGGATCGTTAGCGAGCGCAATACCGACTCCGCCCGAGGTGTACCGTCGCAGTGTCGTCCCGGACTCCACCTCGACCAGGGCCATGCCCTTGGCCTCGCCTACCGTCAGCACCTTGTCGCCCTTGGGATCAAGCGCCAGGTCGTAGACCTTACCCGGCTCGCCCAGCCGCCGAGGAGCGCCGCCAACCTTCACCCCGTCCTCGCTCGCCTCGAGATCGCGGGCAAGGACCGAGCCGTCGGCGCCGGCCGAGACCAGCGCCGCTGGTGCGGCAAAAACAAGCGCGTTCACCGCCGCCCCGTGGTCGTCCAGCGTCGCCGCCAGCGTGTACTCGGCTTTCGACGCGTCGAGGACGTGCACCAGCCCGTCGCGCGACGTCGACGCCAGCACTGGGCGCGATCCCACGGTCCCATACGCCAGCGCCAGCACATCGCCGTCGTGAGCTTCGAGATAAACCAGCTCCTCGAGGCTCGCCAAGTCGTGGACGCGCACGTTTCCGATGCGGTCGCCCGACGCCAACGAGCGCCCGTCTAGCGAGAGAGCAAGTGCCCGGACGCCCTCGTTGTAGTGCGGGACTGTGTCGGTGAGGACGCCACACGTCGAGACTGACGCGCCCATCAGCTGAGTGTGACCGTCGTTGACAAACACCACATGCCGCAGATCCGGTGAGTACGCCGACGCCCCGTGCCCAATCTCCCACACCCTGATGGTGTTGTCTGATGAGGCCGTGGCAAAGACGGAGGCGCCGAGACCTGGCAGTGCGACCGCGTCCCATACCCCGGCTGCGTGTCCCAGCTCAGAGTAGGCTTTGACCACCGCACCCGGCCGCGAAATGTCCCACACGTACGTCGACGTGTCCGAGTACACTACCGCAAGGAGGGTGGCACCGCTGCGGGCAAGCGCGCAACTCACCGCCGTCGCGTCCGGGTACACCACGTTGTCCAGCGGTTTTTCCGGGTACGGCTCGGCGCTGGCGGCAACGTTGAGCGCCGGTGAGATCGGATGTGGCCGCGGCAGCGTCGCGACGTACTTGAGCGTCGAAGCGTCAAAGGCGCGGAGAACGCCGTCAGAGCACGCCACCGTCAGCAGTGAGCCGCACGGCGTCGCCGCCATGCCAAACGCGTGGCTTGTCTTGAGATCAACCCACTTGTCGAGCGCCAACCGAGTGAGCGAGAGTAGCGCGAGCACACCATCCGACGAGAGCGCGTAGAGTGCACCCTTGGCCGCGCCCGCTGCCGCCACCTCGTCGCTCGCCAGCATGACGCCGGCCACAAACGTCTTTCCCCGCAGCGCGCCAAGCGTCAAGCTCTTTCCAGCCATCTTGTTACCTCCCGAGTACGCCCATCGCATGCAATGGCGCTCGCCAAAGGAGAAAAGCGACTCGCCATCCGGCGACCAGGCGAGACTGTGGATGGCCGCCGGGACGGCCGCCTGTGACAGGACGCGACCCGAGGGGACGTCGAGGAGGGCAATGCGCGTGACTCGCTTGACCGAGGTCAGCGTGGCCAGAATCGGATGGGTCGGCGACCAGCAGATGGCAGTCACCTCCGCTGCCCGAGGATCGATGATGGCCTCAACCTCGCCCGAGGCCCAGTCCCAGATCACGATGCGAGGCATGTCCGGCATGTTCTTCCTGGAACCCGCACGACGTCTCTTCCGCATTCGTGGCTTCTCCGCCGCCGCAATCCGCTCGCCATCGCTTGACCATGCCACCGAAGCAAGCGCTGTGTTGTCGGGCGTCTTGAGGTATGCGACCTGGTGGCCGGAACCCGGCTCAGTGACCACCACCACCGCGCCGGCAAGGGTGGCCACATAGCCCTCGGTGGGATGGGTGGCGAGGCCACGAACACTCGTTCTTCCCAGTACGCGCTCCAAGCACACCTCCATCGCGTCGCCCTGGTCGCAGCAAGGGCAGAACACACAGAAGTGCTGGAAGGCGCGTGGTGTGTGGCTGGGTGGCGTCTGTGGCGGGCGCCCAGCCCAAGTGGCGCCAAACTCGGAATTCAAGGAACGTTTTGAATGCGGTTCGCATCAGAGTGACGGTCCGGTCACTCACTCGCCCAACTGTCGCCGCATGGTAATGTCGGCGACAGTTCATGATGCGCCGAGAAAGCGTTTACGAGGCGTAGCCCTGTGCGACGAGCGCTTTGAGCTTGCGGACCACTTCCTCGATGGGCGGACGGGCAGAGGCCTTGAGGGCGAGGCAGTCGGCAACAAGCTCGCAGCAGGCGCGCTGGATGTCGGACCAGGCGGTGGCGATGCCCGCGTCCGAGGCGAGGGTGAGCAGCGCCGTGTGCGGTGGCGACGAGGTGTGCGCTCCGCCGGGCTCGGATGCGTCAAGCCCGGTGTAGGGTGCAAGGCCAAAGACAACGAGCATGAGGATGGCGCCGAGCGAGAAGACGTCGGCTGACGGGGTGAGCGCGTCAAAGAGCGCAACTTCTGGTGCGAGGTAGAGATGCAGCGAGCCGCAGACCGCGTCGGGCTGCGAGCCGAGGTAGAACGGCGAGACTCTGCCGAGCTCGCCGACCTTGCACGACCGCGACCGCGGGTCGTAGAGCACGTTCCATGGAACAAGTGCACCGTGTGTCACATTCTGTGCGTGGAGATAGTACAGGCCCGACGCGATGTTCTTGACCAGCAACAGCTTGGCAAGCAGCGGGCAGCTCGAGCCAAAGTCCGGCTCGGCGACCAGACTTGCGAGTGTCGAGCTCATGTACTCGACCATGTAGCCCGTGGCAACAGTGCCTGCAACAAGCCGGGTGCACGAGCCGCGGAAGAGAATGCAGTTTGGGTGCCGCATCGAGGCCATGGCCTCGACCCGTGCCAGCGTCTCCGCTGACGCGCTCTGCCCGAGAAAGCGAACCACAACCTCAGTCCCGTCCTGGCACTCGCACACAAACTCGCTCTCGCCGTGTGCAGCGAGCACGTTGAGCTCCTCAAAGGCGACAACGTCCGACGCGCCGCCAGACGGCGAGCCGCGGCCGTGCGACGCTCGCATCGGGGACCGCGACGAGCTTCGCCTGCTCCCCGCATGTGGCGGGCTTCCCGAGCTGCGGGCCACGTCCGCCACTGGCGCAGCGGCTGTCGACGACACCCGCCGCGCGCTGGCGTTGGTAGCGTCACCGCACTCGGCAGCGTCGCCCCCTCCGAGCACAAACGGGTGGTCGAGCAGGTCGGTCGCCGACGCGCGCGCTGCGGGATCGAGCGCAAAGCATGCGTCTAGGAAGAGCGAGGCTGGATGAGAGAGGCTTTCGGGCCGGCTGGGGCCCGAGAGCGTGGTGCCGATCGAGAAAATGGCGGCCTGCTTGTTGAGGTGCGACCACGGCATGCGCCCGGTCAGCATCTCCAGCAGCGTGCATCCGAGCGACCAGACGTCCGACTCGGGCGTAGCCGTCTCGGTGCGGATGGCCTCGGGCGCCATAAAATGCGGCGTGCCAACAAAGGCGGAAGTGTGGTCGGCGCCCGAGAGCAGCGAGGCACCGCCAAAGTCGGCAAGCTTGACCACAGTCCGGTGGCCGTCGACCTTGAGCAGCACATTGTCGGGCTTGAGATCGCCGTGGATCACGCTGTGCCGGTGGAGGTATGCCACGCCAGCAACCATCTGGCCGAGGTAGTGTGCGGCGTCTGGCTCAGAGAGGCCAGACTTGAGATCAGCAAGCATCCGCGAGAGCGAGCCGCCGGCCACGTACTCAAGAAAGACATGGACAACGGTGACTGCCGCGTCGGCCTGCGCTCGCGTTGCCGAGCCGTAGAACCGCACAATGTTGGGGTGGTCCAACGTCGCCAGAATGGCATTGATCCGGTGGGTCACGTCGGCGAGGCCAGAAGTGTCGCCCTCAGCGAGCTGGTACTCCTTGACCGCCACCGGCATCGAGACCGGTGCCTCCATGTGCGCGAGGTAGACCCGGGCCTGGCCGCCAACGCCGAGCACCGATCGGACTCGCCAGGACAGGTCGTCCGAGCTCGCCAGTGCTTCGCGGATGAGCGTCACGGCGTCACGGCCCGAGTCGGACGCAGGGAGGCTGCCCGAGGACAGCAGCGCCGGCTCCATCGTCGCCTTGATGGTGGAGAGCGTAAAGGTACTCGAGTCGAGCGCAGCGCTCGACTCGCCGCCGCCACCACCGCCGATCGGCCCGGTCATCGTCACTGATGCTGTCGCATCGTCGTCCGACTCGGGCTCTGGGTCATGAGGCCCAGCCGCAGCAGTTGTGGGGCCAAAGGCGATTCGCCGCTGGCCGAGCGGCGATGCCACCGACGCCATCGATAGCGAGACGGTAGGCGTGAGGTTGCCGGCCGAGCCGTCGTCGTCCGAGGCGACGGTGAGGAACCGGATGACCTTGGACCACGGGCCGTCGCCGCCCGAGTTGCGGGCATGGATGCGAAACCAGTAGTACGACGAGGGCTTGAGGCCCTGGGCCACAAACTCGCGCAGTGGACCGCCGTACAGCTTGCGCCACTTTTCGGCGGCGGTGCCAGGCTGCCCGTCCGAGATGGCGAGGACAAAGCCGCGAAGGGTGGTCGGCGACAGCGGCGGATCCCATTTGAGAAAGAGCGACGACGGCGAAGATGCCACCAGGTACGGCGGGTCCATCTTGCGCGGGACTTCGGCGTGCGAGGTGACCAGAAAGATGACCGAGCCGGCGCGGACGAGGTCGTCGTGGCGGAGGAGCTTGGACGACCCGGGCTCGAGCCGGCGCCACGGCAGGGCGTCGAGCTGCGCATCGATCCGGCCAAGCGCCAACTTGCGGCAGTAGTATGTCGTCGAGAGCACGTCGACCATGTACGTGCCCGGCTCGGCAGCATCGGGTGGGGTGACGAACCGCAGGTTGAGGTGGTGGCGTGAGAGATGTGGGTCGTCGGTCTCGACAAGAACCGGGACCGCGCCCGGTGCATGCAGTGAGGGCTTGCCTGGCGCGCGCCCTAGTGCGTAGGTCTGTGGGAACTCGCGGACGTAGTGGGCGCCGGCGAGCGGTCCGCGTAGCATCTGGATGACAGTGTCGACAGGCCGCGACTCGGGTAGGGTCGCCGCGCGTCCGCCAGTCGACGACGCTGTGGCGTCAAGGTCAAGCGCCTCAGTGGCACCAAGCCCCAAACCGGCCGGCAGAATCACATCCTCCACCACAAACACGGTGTCTGCCGCCTTGAACGAAGAGAGCGGCTTGAGCGCCATGACGCACTGCGCGCCGGCGTCCTCGTAGCGATCGCCGAGGAAGCGGTAGTCTTTGAGCTCCTCAGCCAGCGCAGGCTCGGCGTACCACGTCCCGTTAGTCGAGCCGCAATCCGCCACAAAGAATGAGCGGACTCGGTCCTCATACCAGATCTTAAAGTGGACGCCCGAGACAGTAGTGTTGGATGGCGGGACCGGGAGCCTCACGCAATCGACCCGGCCCTGGCCACTTGCTTCCATCGCGGCCACCCGTTTTCTTAACGCTTTGCCCGATGCGCCAAACAGAGTCGTCATTCCGCCCGACACGCAAAACGTCTCCCTTCCGCCGCCCTCGCCGCCAAACCTGGCCGAGAACCGGAGCCGTGCTTCCATGCGCCGTCTTGCCCCTCTGCTCCGCAGCCTCGTCCTGTGACTTGTGTCCTGTTCTGATATCCCCCTGTGTGGTGAGGGTGGTGTGGTAGAGGTGAGGCGTGGAGTGTTGTTGGTGAGTGGGGAGAGATAAGTGGTTATGTGGGGTTGCCTGGGTGGGGGGGGGGGGGGGGGGGAGGGGGAGGGGGAGGGGAGGTGGAGTGTGGCGGCGGGTGACCATTACCTGTTGTCGATTTTATTGTTGGGGGCAGAGGGACGGGGGGATGGCTGCCATGGTTGAAGGCGCATGCTGCGTTTCTCGTGGCCATGAGATAGCAATACCAGTAGGTATGACATGCCTGTTGGTAATGCGATTGGCTTGCTTTCCTTCCTCATCAGCAAATCGGGCTCGATGTCATCCACGTCATCCGCGCGCCTTTCAACGATAAACTCTCCATCAATTAGTCATAGGCTCCTGCCGATGCCTACTCGTCCACACCCAAGCAAAATACACCACCTCCACGCCCATCACCACATTTCTGTCTCTATCCCTCACCCATCGCTCGATCAAGCCATTACCACTCCTTATTCCCTCTCTTCCCCCTCCCTCCCCTCCCCCCAAACTGCCCAACCGCCTCTCCCCAACCTCCAACCGCCTCCGCTCCTGCCACGGCCACCCCCCACACACACGCAGCGACACAGCCACATACGACACACCCGACTCCCTCCAGCTGACTGTAGAGGCGAGGACGATGCTTCGCAGCAAGAAGCACCGAACAGGGGGCTCTACTGGTGGGGGGTCTGACGGAAGGTCTGGTGGTGGCTTAGGCGGTACCGGTGGCGGGAGTGCTGGTGGTCAAGCCACCGAGCGCTCGTCCAAGGAGCTGGAGAAGGAGCGCAAGATGACCGAGCGCCTGGCAGAGCTGGTTGCCACATACGGCGAGGATGTCCCAGTCTTGAGTGATGTACGCTGGTGAGCTGAGGGGGTGGGTGAGGGGAATGGGCGCCCCAAGGGGGGGGGGGGGGGGGGGAGGGAGGGAGGGAGGGACGGAGGACGACACTCACAGTTCGAGGCGGTTGGCGGTGTGCGGCTTGGTGTGGCGGATGCGGAGGGGGGAATACAGGACGCATGGCGGTACTTTGTGTATCTTGCAGACTCAACACAGGCTCCGCATTCGGATGGACGGCCGGCGAGCTCGGGCGCTGTACAGCCGCTGAGCAAGGCTCTCTCGGGACTGGCGGACTTTATCCGCTCGGGGCGGAGGGCCAAGTTTACTGTGATTACTCTCGATGACATCATGGCGTACGCCAAGGACAACGCCAAGCATCCTCTCTGTGCCCACGTTCGTGCTTATGCTGATGGCATTGACGAGATGCCCGAGGAGCTCCTGGCTCTGGTACTTGCCCGTAAGCTTGCGGACGATCGCGAGCTCGGGCTGGAAAAGAAGGAGGCCGCGCGCCGCGAGGCCGAGCGCGAACGGCAGCTGCAGATCGAGCGCGAGCGCGAAGAGCGTGAGGCGCTACAGGCTGCGCTCCGTGCAAGCGCAGGCGGGGGTGGTGGCGGGACCGGGACCGGTGGCCCGGGTGGGAAGTCGGCGCGCGGCTCGCGCGGGAGACAGGCGTCAAACCCGACGACGGCCCGCGGCGCGCAGTCGACTCGCGACGGTGGCAAGCGGCCGCCGCGCGGTCGCGGCCCGTCGGATCCGCATCACGACGACGACGGCGGCAGTGGGCCGCGCGGGCCAGGTAGTAGCACCGCCAAGGGTCGCCGCAGTGGCCGCGGTCGCCGCGGCGGCGCCCCGCAGACCGTTGTGCCCGAGATGGACGCGCTTGGCGATGAGCCCGATGACGGCCCGGACTGCTATCTCTGGCTCAAGGACTTTCCGCTCACTGTCACCTTTGTCGAGCTCTGTGCCAAGTATACGATCCCGCTCAACGCTGTGGCACATCTAGAGCCGGCCATGTCCGACGCCGTGCGCGCGTCGTCGGTCACCGTCGGAAGCGCTGGTGGGGGGCTCGGAACGAGCTCGATGCACAGCGGCGGGGCAGCGTCTCCGCGAGTCGGCCAGACGCCGACTCCGCCCGGCACCTCGGCAAGGTCCGAGTCGCGAGCATCGGCGTCGGGTCGGCCTACGTCGCGGCAGGCCCGGTCGCGGTCGTCGAAGCGAAGCGCAGCAGCATCACCGGGTGCCTCACCTGGTCCCTCGTCGTCTGCGGCTGTATCCGCTGCTGCTCTCCGTCGCAAGCGCCGGAAGGAGGCCAAGCTCTCGGCCTCGCACCAGCCGACGACCGCTGTCACCGCAGTTGCCGCGTCGGATCTCGCACCATCGGGCAGCTCGATTGCGTCGATCAAGTCTGACTCGACCGCTACCGACACGCCCGCCTTCGACCCGTTGGCCCTCGCCCGGCCTTCGGCGCAAGCCGCCGAGCTTGTTGTCCCGGCCGGCTGCTCGGTGGCGCTCGCCAGGTTCCGTGCCGCCATCGACGCCTCGCCGCCCGACTCGCTCCTCCGGTCCATCGTCATGTTCACCGTCTCCGCTGCCAACCGCAAGCCGCCGCTCATGGTTTACGACGAGCTGGCTGGGCGGCTCTTTGACGTCGTGGCCAAAGCCAAGATCCACTCGGCCTGGCGCGCCACTATGGACGTCGAGCCGATGCCAGCAGCGGACGGCCTCGGTGCAGTTCCGCTCGACGCGCTGCTCCCGAGTGCCACCAACCCTGCTCCACTCGCCACCTCGCGTTACCTGGAGCGACTTGCCGAGCTCCCGTCGTCTGTTGCTGTCACGCCGGCGCTTGTACTCGACGCCATGCTCGAGCAAGTCGCGTTTACTGCCAAAGGCCCGGCCGCGGTCGCCGCAGCCGTGGCCCAGGACTTTGCGTCGGCGCTAGACACAGCGCTGTCAGATCCGCTCGCGGAGCTTGTCGGCTTGGATGCAGAGTCGCCCGAGCAGGAGCATGCTCCCGAGCCCGAGGCAGCTGCGGACCTCTGCCCAGCAGTCTTGCCCTGGCACGACACACTCCAACACACGTACTGGGCACAGCCGCAAGTGCTCCAGATCGAGCGGTCGATTGCATTGCGGCTTCGGTCGGCGGCAGCAGACGCCAGTGCCGCTCTAGTGGCCAACGCTGCAGCAGACACAAGTGACTCTGAAGTTCGCCAGCTCGAGACGCGGGTCCTCTCCAACCACTTTCTCTCGTTCCCGATTCCAGTTATGGAGCGGACCCTGGTGCTGTCGGCCTTTGAGAAGCTGCTTGGCGGCGCGGTGCCCGACGTCGAGTGGGACTTGCAGAGCCGCACCTTTTACGAGGACTTTGATTCCTTCTCGCTCCACACCCATCTCGCCGCGCTCCAGGCGCTCGACTATGACGTGGTGACAAGCTACTACCCGCGGGACCACGCCATGCTGCTGGCGCTTGTTCCCTCAATGGACAGTCGGCGGATGTCGAGTAGTGTGTTTGAGCCCGAGGTGCGGACGCCGCTCTCGCTCTCAGCCTTTGTGGCGGCTGCCGACGCCGGTGCGCAGTTTTTCGACTGCGACGCCCTGGTCGAGTCGTTTACCTTTGAGCCGCCCATCGATCCCAAGGCGCCGCTCTCAATGGCACAGCGGCTGGAGCTGGCCAAAAAGTCGGCGTCATCGGCAATGGCCCAGCGCGGCGGACAGCAGCTGGCTCGGCTCGGTGGCGCATCGCAGCAGGCTGCGAGCAAGACGCCGGTTGTCCAGACCAAGGCATATGAGCTCAACGACTCGCTGTTGCGGGCGTCGCTGGTAGAGACGCTGGTGTATCCCGCCGAGACCGAGACGTCGATCAAGGTCTGCGTCCGCCACTCGGCTCGGCCGCCGTCGACCCGCACCGCAAGCGATGTGCAAATTGCGGTCCGGCATGGCACGGCTTCCTCGTTCGCCATGCATCTTGCCCATCCGCCGACCGACGCGGGGCGGCACGACCCGAACCCGCCCAAGACACAGCGCAGCTCGCCACGCCACACATCGGCTGCCAACAACAACTCGATGGCTTCTGCCGAGCTCAGCACCACCGCGCCCGATGCTGCAGCTGTGGTTGCCGCCGCCGACACGCCGCTGGTGCCGTCGGCTACGGCGCCGCCGCCGCGGCCGGTCTTCACCTGGACGAGCGCCGATGGATCTGCGGCCCGGATTGCGGCAACTGCAGGCCCGGGCGTGGTGTGTGACATTACCACCGCAAGCGGCGTCACCGCCCGGGCTGCCACGGCCCGGCGTGAGGTTCAGCTTGCTGCGTATGCAGCTCCGCATGCGAGCGGCGCGCTCACTGCCACAGGACCGAGCAGCAGCCGCGTGGCCGAGGCGGGGCGGACTGTCGCGTTTGACGGGACCGCCTCGATCTACCGCGTTGACGGCAGCGTTACAGTCCTTGCACCCAATGGCGGCATGTCGCAGTACGATCCAGTGAGTGATTCATGGACGTATCTGGCTGCCAATGGGTCGCGGTTTGCGGCCAAGGCGCCGGGCTCGGGCCACGGCCCGCCGCTCCCTGGCTCGCTGGCGAGCGCGACACGGATTGAGGCCGCGAGCGGTGCCCATGTGACCACCCGCGAAGACGGCCTGACTCTCTCGCTGGACGTGGGGCGGACATCGCGGGTTGTCACCTTTCCGGACGGAACAGTCCTCACTGCCGACGCTGCCGAGCTTGGTAGCGCGACGACGCTCGAGGTCGCCGCTCCGCGCGGAAGCTACGGCGGTGCGGTGGTCTCGCTGGATGTTGCGGCCGGGGTGGCGACTGTGGTGCTGGACGCTGGCGCGGCCGAGCTCCAGGTTGGAGCCACGAAGCTGCGAGTGGCCAAGGACGGCGCGTGGGTCCGGGCCGAGCTCGACGTTGGGCGGCTCGCGTTTGGCGGCGCCGGCACGCCCGAGTTTATGGGCACTGGACAGGCAAGCGTGTCTGGCGTGTACGCGTTTGACCTCTCATCGGGTTCGCTGCATGCTATCGACCGCCTCCGCAACGAGTTTCACGTTGACGGCCACTCGGGTGTGGTGACAACGACGCCTGCGGGAGCGCGGGAGTTGATGAGCGCTGTGGTGTCAGACGACTCTTCAGACGACGAGAGCGGCGCAGCGACGCCAGTGACGGCCCCGGGCGCTGACGCGAGCGTGACGCTCCTCTCGCGCGCCATCGTATCGGAAGACCATCCGCCGCGACTGTTTGTGGTGCGGACGGACGGCTCCGGCTACGAGCTTATGGACGAGAGCATGGCCCTCCACTTTCTCCACAGTGTCGAATCCTCGCTTGAGGCCGGCGCCGGTGCGTCCAGTGGTTTTGCCGGCTCGCTCTCGGTGGAGCCACTGGCCGGCGACGTGCAGTCGACGGTCTTCTCGCTCTTGACCAAGGTTGCACCTGTTGGTGCCGCACCGCACAAGCTGCGCCAGCTGCGGCGGCACGCCCAGCTCTCGCACGAGCAGCGCAAGGTTCTGATGGGCGAGCTCCAGGCGTTTGACGAGTGGCAAGCCGGCCGTCAGTCTGCACTGGCCGAGTTGGCGCTCGCCGACGACCGCAAGTCCGCCGACGTTGCGCTGCAGACCGAGGTCTCGCGGCGAGTTCTTGCTGCCCGAGTTGAGGCCAAGAAGAAGCAGGCTGAGGAGGCGCAGTTGCAGCCGGCATCGGAGCCTGTTCAGCAGAATGTCGAGGCTTCCGCAAGTGCCGCCGCGCCGTCGGCAACTCACAGCGATGCTGCAGTTGATTGCCGCAACCCGCTGGGAGCTACGGTTGATCGCCACGCGCCGCCAGCAGCATACTTTGAGACTGCGCAAGGTCAGGCGTTTCTTGCAGCGCAAGCCGCGACGCTGGAGCGGGAACAGGTGGTGCATGGCATTCCGCAGGAGACGCGGTCGATTTCGCGGGCTTCGCCGTCGCGGTCGGGCTACCGTGGGCTGGATCACCTGAGCATGACGCCGCTGCAGGGCCCTGCAGTGGTGGTGCCGTCGACGCTCCGCGCGCACGTCTCGATCTCGGACTCGGACGACTCGGACGACGACGCGCCGCCGGTGGAAGGCACTGTTGTGGAGCTGGAGACGGCAACGGCAGAGGAGGCGGCGGCGGATGAGGCGCGGGCGCGCGAGCGGGCGGCGGATGGGACGGGCATGCGGTCGCTCGGCGTCCTTCCACCCATCAGCACGCCGAAGCGAAGCGGGAGGCAGAGGCGGCGGCGCGGATCCGAAGCGTCGACGGCAAGCTCGGTCTCGACCAAGACCTCGCCGCTCTCGGTGTCTGTGGATGGGCAGAGCCGGCGGCCCGGTGGCGAGCGGGCGCTCCCGCGGGTGCTCCGCGGCAGCCGCGGCGACACAGTCAACACCGAGTACCTCGAGCGCGAGCTGCCTGTGAGGCGGTTCGTCAAGACCTCGTCGGTGATGCAGGCGTCGGCCAAGGGCACCCACCATGCGCGGCAGCTGTTTGGCTTTGAAGTCTTCCCCACCGAGCTCGACATGGGCGTGCTCGCTGTGTCGGCCGTTTACCGGCTCGCCTTTACGCTCCGCAACGTCGGCGTCGAGTCGGCGCGCTTCCGGGTGAGCCAGCCCAAGACGCCCGGCATGCGGGTCCGGTTCTCGACCGGCCCGGTTGCGCCGGGCATGGCGGTCTCGCTCGAGCTCGAGTTTGCGCTCCCCGCCGAGACCTCGCTGCTCGGTGAGGTGCTCGACGAGGTGGTCATCACCACAGAAGCCGACGTCTTCCATCTCGCAGTCTCGGCGCGGGTGGTGACACTGGATGAGGCGCGTGCGCTGTACCATGCCCAGGGCGGCAAACCGATTGCTGCCCCGGGCGTCAAGCGGGTCCCTGTCCGTCGCACTTCTGGCCATTCGGCCCCATCCACCCCCTCGTCAGCCCCGCGCTCGTTGCGATCGCGCGGCAGCCGTCGCCAGTGGGTTCTCCCAGCCACCCCGCCGGCCCCTGCAGTCACCGAATGATACTATTCTTGAATGAACCCTCCCCAATGTGAGTGCCTCTCTCTCTCTCTCTCCCTCTCTGGTCCGCCTCCTTCCAGCGATACGTGTGATTGTCAGCAAAAACCTACATGTCCAATCACCGGGTCTTTACCAGCCGCAGCCGCAGTAAGCCCATTTGCCACTCACATTCAGCACTTGACGCACCTCAACCCCCGACCCCCCCCCCCCCCCCCCCCTTCCCACCTTCCCACCCACACCTGGCACACCAACCCACCCACCGCACAGGTACACAACGTTGTGAGCAGGGAAACCATCCCCTCATCACCCATACCCCTGTGACCAAGGACGTACCCCTGGCAATCCCCCCCCCTCCCGGTCACCGCCACACACACCACACACACCCGGACTCGAGAAGACGCCAAGTGCGGAAACGGGCAGAGAGGAAGATAGACATCAACAAGAAGTCCTATATTCATTGTGGTGCTGAGTATTATGGCAGAGTCGGGTGAAATGGCCGGTTTGAGCCCGGAAGAGGTGGCGGCCAAGAAGGAGCAGGAACGGAAACTGGCCATGTTGCTTGGTCTCGATCTCAATGCGCTCGGCCTGGCCCCGGTGGCTGCATCTGCGGCTGATGGTGCCGGTGCGAGTGTGGATGCCAATACCGGTACGAGTCCGAGTTTGAGTGGCGGCGGCCAAGGTGCGGTGGGTGTCGGAGCCGGATCAGGGGCGTCTTTGGGTGCAAATGCGAGCAATGACGCTGGCCGGCTGCTGACAAGCGCGCCGAGAGGAAGCGGGCTGCAGAGGTCGGTGACAATGGGCGCGGACGCTGAGCTCGAGACCGAGCGTGCGGCGCGCGAAGCCCGTGAGGCCGAGGCAGCGGCGGCGGCGGCGGCGGTCGATGTGGCCGTGGTCGGTCTGGCCAAGGGCAGGCTGAACAAGGACGGCGTGCCGCGGAGCGTGCAGTCGGGTGAAATGCCCAACTCGCTATTCGGCAACGGGTCAACCAAGAGCGGCGAGCGTCTGCACGAAATCAACTCGGCGTCGCGGGCTTCGTTTGCTTTCTCGGGCTTTTCGGACGACGAGGGCGAGTCCGCCGGCGGTGGAGACAAGGCAATGGGCAGCGGTGGCTCGGGCGACAGCGGCGGGGAGGCAGGGCTTTTGGGTCCGCCGCGGCCGCAGGGAAACGCCTCACAGTCTTCGCCGATTGTAGACTCGTCGATGTTTGTGTCGCTCATGGGCAATGACGCGATGTTTGCCGAGCTTGATAATCTGCCGATGGGGTCACCCAAGGCATCGCCGGTAGACTCGCCAGCAGACTCGCCGCGGTCGTCGACGGCGATTGCGGTGCCCGGCTCGGGCTCGAGCTCGGCCAATCCGCGGTCGCGGGTGGGCTCCATCGACCAGTCGGACTTTTTCCAGAACTCGCCGGAGCAGAGCTCCGAGCTCAAGCAGTCGCCGTCGGGGCTCCACTCTGATGAGTCGAGCGGCGGCCGGGCGACGTCGCCTGCGAGCCGGCTGATGGGTCAGTCGATTCGGGCGCGCAAGGCGACGATGCCGACGCGACGGCGACGGCCGTCGAACCTGTTCACGCCGCCGTCTGCGGCGACGTCACGCGAGTGGAAGATTAAGCGGCGGGTTCAGGTCATGCGCAACCGCGAGTCGACGCACTTTCGCAATGCAACGCGGTTCCTTGCGGCACAGTCACGGATTCGGTCGACGTCGCGGCGGTCTGTTCGGGTCTCGTCGACTTTTGAGCTCTCGTCGGAACAAGAGGCCAAGCTTGCGCGGTACTCGCGCCGGGCGTACCTGACCTCGCTGCAAAAGCGGGTCAAGAACGACTCGAGCCGTGCGAGCGGCGGGGCGTCGTCGCTCGCCTTTTTGCCGACAACCAACTTTCGCGGTCACTCAGGCACCCAAGTGGAGGCACTTGTCAAGCGGTCGCAGTGGGTCGGTGATCTGGAGCGTGTGGTGGAGTGGCCGATGGGGGCACCGCTCCCACCGTGGTCGAAGATCATGTACGACCTCGCGCTGCGGTTGCAGCAGAACTCTGCGTTCATCGGCGCGGGCGTGCACGCCGGCGGGAGCAAGGGCGGGTACGGCGGTGTGGGCGGGCAGGAGTCATCGCTCCTCACGGCGCTGATGGAGCAGAAGAAGGACGAGCCGAGCCGGTCGGACCGGGTGGTGTGGGACGAGCCGGACTCGCCTGACAACCTTGTTGTGGAGATTGACGCAAACAACCACGAGATTGTGGTTGCCGGAACGCTGGCCAAGCTTGTAGAGCGTTTGACGTACCACCGGTACCCGGACCCGATGTATCTCTCGGCCTTTCTCCTCACGTACCGGTCGTTCACCACGCCACCGCAGCTGCTGGACTTGCTGGAGCAGCGGTTCAACGCGACGCCGCCCGCGGGCGCGTCGGGCGAGGAGCTGATGAAGTTCCGCAAGACGCGGGAGATCCAGCGAATCCGGGTGCTCCTTGTGTTCAAGCAGTGGGTGGCAAACCACTTTGACGACTACGTTGACGTCGAGGGCCTGCTTGACTCGCTCAAGCAAGTGCTGGCCAAGATGAAGGGCTCTGGCGTGGAGAAGGGGGCGACCAAGCTGATGGAGGACATCGCCAAGCGCGAGGCGCAGGAGCACAAGTCGCGGCGGATGCTTGTGTTTGACACGCCGCCACCGCCGCCGCTGGTGCCCGAGAGTGCAGACGCGAGCACTTTTTCGCTGCTCTCGATCCCGCCGCGCGAGCTGGCGCGACAGGTCACCCTCCGTGAGTTTGCCCTCTACTCGGCCATCAAGCCGTACGAGTGTCTCAACCAGGCGTGGGCCGTGAAGCCAGACGAAGTGGAGGGCTTGTACAAGGCGCCGCACATCCGGTCAATCATCTCGCGGTTCAACGCCATGTCCGAGTACGTGGCAGTGACCATTCTTCGGGAAGCCGAACTCGAGGCGCGGGTGGCGGTCGTCACGCGGTTCATCCAGATTGCCTCCGAGCTCCGCAAGATCAACAACTTCAACGGAGTCATGGAGATCCTCGCCGGCCTGCAGCTGACGCCGATCTTTCGGCTCAAGCGGACGTGGGCCGGCGTCTCGCCGCGCAACATGTCCAAGTTCAACGAGCTTGCCGCCGAGATGAACCGCGACCTCAACTACAAGGCGCCGCGGGCTGCGCTGGCGACGGCCAATCCGCCGTGCATCCCGTACCTCGGCATCTTCCTCACCGACCTCACCTTTGTGGAGGACGGAAACTCGGACCTCACACCGTCCGGCCTCATCAACTTTGACAAGCGCCGGCGGCTGGCCCTCATCATCGGCGAGGTCCAGCAGTACCAGCAGACGCCGTACTGTCTGCAGGCGCTCCCGCAGTTACAAGACTGGATCTGGGGCGAGAGCGAGGCCGTGGAGTATGACGAGAGCGTCATGTATGACCGTTCGCTGGAGGTCGAGCCGCGTGAGAGCACCGCCTGACTCGGCAGGCTAGCGTGGAGTGCGCGTGGCGTTTTACTCGGACGCACCGCCGGGGACAAGGAGGATCTTGCCGGTCGTGCCGCGCGACTCGAGGGCGCGATGGGCGTCGGCTGCCGACTCGAGCGGAAAGGTAGCGCCGACGGTGACGGTGAGGTCGCCGGCGGCGATCCAGGCAAAGAGGTCTGCGAGGCGGGAATCAAACTCGCCGGGGCCAGAAATAAAGTCGCCGAGCGAGGGCCGGGTGAGGTACTTGGAGCCCTTGAGCGAGGCGAGAATGTTGACGGGCGGGACAGCGCCCGAGGCATTGCCAAACGAGACCATGGTGCCGCGCGGCTTGAGGACGGTCATCGAGGCGTCAAAGGTGGCGGCCCCGACGCCGTCAAAGACAACGTCGACACCGACGCCGGCGGTGATGCGGTCGATGGCGTCGACAACCGAATCCTCCGAGTACTTGATGACGTGGTCGACCTTGCCGACCGAGGTGGCGAGCTCGGCCTTGGCGTCGGTGGAGACGGTGCCGATGACGGTAGCGCCGGCGTTCTTGCACATCTGGGCGAGAAGGAGTCCGGTGCCACCAGCGGCAGCGTGCACCAGCACGGTCTCGCCGGCCTTGACCTTGTACGACGAGTGGGCGAGGTAGTGGGCGGTAAGGCCCTGCAGCATGACTGCCGCGCCCTGCTCCTCAGTCACGCCGGCAGGCAGCTTGGCGGCGCGGCTGGTGGCCACCGCCGTGTACTGGGCGTACGCGCCAGGCGTCAGCACGTAGGCAGCCTTGTCACCAACCGCCCACCCAGCCGCAGCGGCGTCAACGCCCACCGCCACCACCTCGCCAGCGCCCTCACGGCCGAGAGTGTACGGCAGCGGGACCTTGTACAGGCCCGAGCGGTGGTACGTGTCGATGAAGTTGAGTCCGGCAGCCGCATTGCGGACAACAATCTGGTCGGCGGCAGCCTCAGGCATCGGCAGCTCGGTATACGACAACACCGATGCGTCGCCGTGCTCGTTGATGACGATTCCGTGGTTGTTGCTGCCAAGGGATGTGGGGGTTGTGTGAGTGGGTGCCATGTCATGGGTGAGGTGGGGGGGGGGGGGAGGGGGAGGGGGAGGGGAGGGCGAGGTCGCCCAAGCGCACATGCACACACACACACACACATGAACACACACACACACACACACACACACACACACACACACACACACACACACAGACACATACCTGGAAGACATGGCTGTGTCGAGAGCAGTGGTGGCAGTGATGGTGATGGCTGACGTGGCGGTGAGCGGGCGGACGGTGCCTGTTCCCCCACCCCCACCACCACCCCCACCACCACCACCACCACCACCACCACAGCTACCACTCATGCCCATGACACAGCCACCGAGACCGAGACCGGGACGAGCACGGCTGTAGACGGTACCTGTGAGGGTGAGGGTGAGGGTGCATAGCGAGAGGGCCAGTCGTTGTGTACTCATCCCCATCGTCCTCCCCATCATGCTCAGCATCTTTGTCGCCCCACTCGCTCCTGCGCTAGGTGTGACTGGCTGGCTTTGCTTCGGCCGCTGTTCCCCCTCACACTGGCCCGTATCTTCTCGCAGAAACAAACAAACTGTGCCATCGCACATCCATCGCACTCTACATCTTTGTCCTCACTACTACATCCAGGCCATGGCCACCGTTTGAGCCGCTTGCGCCTGGTGCTTATATTTCCACCCAAACAACAGCGGCGCGCTGCGTTGAGATCAAGTGATCATTGTCGTTGGTGAGCACCCTCCACTCTGTCGCGTCAGCAAAGTTGGCACGTACACCTTTTACGAGTTAAGCGCGGTCGCCAAGCGTGCCATACCCCCTGGCTGGAGACTCACCCCCTGTCCTGCGATCAAGGATCCACCCGAGGCCAGCGGCGACGCTGCAAGCTGCGGCGGCGATGTAGAGGGCAGGCGCAAAGCAGTGCGTCCCGCGGCAGACGCCGCCGTCGCCGGCCGAGGCGTCAAAGAGTGCACCAAAGAGCGTGCCAAACGAGATGGCGCCGAGCGCCGGAGCGAGGACTACCGTGCCCCAGTTGGCGCCGTAGTGGTCGAGGCCAAACAGCTCGCCCACAAGCGTAGGAATGGTGTTGAACATGCCGCCAAAGGCGAGGCCGGAGCCGATCATGGTGGGCACCAGCCACGGCGCGCCGACCAGGGCGAGCACAACCAGGTTGAACGTCATAAGCCCCGCAATGGCGACCAGAAACCGCGCCCGTGGTACCCCGCGCTTGAGCACCGCGTCCGAAGCAATGCCAAACACCACCCGCCCGGCCACGTTAAAGGTGGAAAAGAGCGCCATAAAGACCGTCTGCGACGTCGCTGTCTGCGTTGCCTCGATGAACGCGTTGAGGTTGTTGACCACCATTAGCATTGACCCGTCGCAAATCGCCAGAATGGCAAAGAGGAGCCAGAACGATGGCTCGCGGACCAGCGCGCGCCCCGTGATCTGCGGGCCGGCTACCGCCTCCTGCTGCTCGTCATAAGCCTCGGCCTGAGCCTGAGCCTCAACCTCAGCCTCAACCTCAACCTCAGCCTCAGTCTCAGCTGAGGTTGAGGCTGAGGCCTCCGAATCAAAGACAAAGTGGAGGCCGTCGTCGTCTGAGCTCGTCGCGCTCTCCGACCACAGCGCCGAGACCGAAGCCAGCGGCGAGAGCGTCCCGTACGGCATAACGCGGAGGGTGGCAAAGCCGAGGGCAGCAGCTCCGGCAATGACCAGAGCCACAACAACCAGGTACGAGGCAACCCGCGGCTTGACCGCCCGATAGAGGAGGGCAAAGAAGGCGGGCGAGGCGCCAAATGAGGCCACGATGGCACCCAGTGCCCGCCCGCGGAACTTGGGATTGTAGTTGCCCACGTTGCTGACCAGGCCAACGGTGTAAAAGCCATGGCCGCCCTGGCCGATGGCGTAGAAGGCGAGGCAGAGGAGGGCCACGACGCCGGCCGACGCCGCGCTCGCCGCCGACACAATGGCTGCCGCCCC